ATAAGTTTCAGCTCTGAAGTATGCAACCATTTAGATTACCCAGCGGCGTTTCACCATGTATTTTCTCTCCTTTAATCGTTTTTACCCAGGGTCCTTGCTGAAGGTGGTTCGACGGATGGGTTCGAGGGAACAATCACAGGAAACCATGATTTGTACTAGTTTTACCAGCTAATTTTCTGCTGAAGATGTTCTCTTTATCCAATTCTTAGAGCGATGTACCCTCTGGGAAATACCATACATATATATATATATACCCTCTGGGAAATACCATACATATATATATATGATAAATAGTAATGTACAATATATATATATATATATACATCATATATCTATAGAATATCTATATATAGTTAATATAACTGGGCATATAAATTGGCCACCTATAGCGTAGCTATTTTCAATTCCCAGAGGGTGACTTCTGCCGCAGACGAGGCATGAGGGTTAGTTTGGCCACACCGCCCAAGACGGTTGGGTTCGGAGACTCGGAGATACTCGGAGACACCGCAGTAGCGCGAGAATCGTGCGAGACAGCGTGTCGTGTTGGTCATGACGCCCTGAGAAATATATGTGATAATATGATATATTATATGTTTATGTGATGTCAATACCCATAGGATCCATGGTGCTGGTATATTAATGCTAACATGACTGGGGTATATTGATGGGATCCATGTTACCATATATAGCATACATGGATCCTATGGGATATAATTGAAATTATTCATATATTGATTAATCATTATGGTATAGATATACATTGTTGCATATAATATAGGATCCTGTATGTGTTTGCCATCAGACATGCAGGTAGTTTGGAAACCAAGTGAGTAGTACCACATAGTTTTCCTGCGATGTTTTTATTGTCGTTTACCCACAGAAATGGCTAGTTTGCCCCAGCTCGAGGATGACTGCGACGGCTACTATGATGAGAGACGCGACAATTATGACGGCTATGATGACTATGACAGACTCGATGATTATTGTTACGACGACTACTATGACAGACTCGATGATTATTGTTACGACCCAGACGATTAATCCAGTATATGCGAAGTCTTCATGACAGTACCTTTCTGGATGAGCCATCTCTTGGTTCGAAGCAGGATCACTATTAGCGGACTGCTTGTCAAAATGATTGGCCTGCTAGCATTTTACTTGTCAGGCTGCTAGGGAGCTAACTGAAATATGATTGCATCTGCTGGAGGATGATTTGTTTCATGAGCATTGCCCACACATCCCACCACAAATAGTATTCATCCCAAACTCAAACACCAGGGCCTCAACCATCCGCAGAAACAGCGTGCTTTCGTTTGGAATGCAGAATTAGTGTCTGCTTGAGTTACCCAATCCACTTGTATCCACTGGATCTACTGTCTTGTTCAGATGATGAACGGGGTTCCCAATGAGCCCTTTGGCAAGAAAGAATATCTTACAAGAATTGGCCTTTCAAAGCCAAATTGTATGCAATTGCAGTTTTTCTTGAATTATGTGTTTCAATATGTTCTTTGTTTGGGTCAAAACTGATTTGGAATTCCACCTCGCGTATGCGTGCCAGAACATTTATCTTCTGCTGCAGTTATCAGTAAGTACCCGTTTTGCTCGATCAGAATCCAGCTACCAGCCCCAAACAACACATTTGGATACATTTATTGGTTCAATCGTGTTGCGGTTCGCTCAGGCCTACCAGAGCCCGACCTTTGAATTCATTCAAGGCTGCTGTGTTGGAAGGGCACCACTACAGCAGTATGGCGTTCTCCCTGAAATCAATGGTATTTCGCAACAGTGCGGCTGTGCGTTGCAGGCTGAGTCCTCGCAACTTTAACTAAGATATATAACAATGCTTGATTTTATTGGTTTCCAAACAAAAAATAAGTGCTGGATATTCTTGGATGATGGGGCTGGGGTTGCCCAATTTATTAAAGATGAGAGTTGGCGAAGTGGTGTCAGGATGTGTTCCGTGAGGGATGTGTTCCCTTGCCCCACGAGAGATAGTAACTCCAGGTCATTGCATCAATGTCAAACGCATGGAGGTTTCCTAAAGGAGTACCCCAATAGCTGTATGGTTTATAAGGGAAAATCCCAATCTAAAATGGATGATAACTAGGGGTACCACTATTTCAGGAAACCTCCACATGACTTCCTCTGGAGGGCCACTTTTTGTATCAAATTTACTTGCAGACGACAACTTCGCACTGATAGTCATGCCTAAAGTAGCATGTTTGATCCAATTCAGCCTCTGTACTTTGAGGTCTTGTAATCTTCAGCATCCATCACCACTGTTTCCAAGACCCTGTAATCACAGTGAGTTGTGTAGCGCTGTGTGAGCTGCTTCCACTAGTCATATGGGAACTGGTTGGTGGTTTGGAACATTCTTATTTTTCCATATATTGGGAATAATCATCCCAACTGACTTTCATATTTTTCAGAGGGGTAGGTACACCACCAACCAGTATGGGAATCTGACGGGTTGCATGAGACCACCCTGCTTCCAGGCGCCCCTCTTGGCACGTGAACGTGGCGGCAGTGATGATCATAGTACCCTCGCGCGAGTGGCTCAGCTGCAGAATGCAACGGTGGGAAATCACTGGTCTTTCAGGGCAGATCTGATCAGGGCTGGGGTTTGTTTGAGAATCCACACGGATCATGGTAAACAGCGGCGATATGTTTCGCAGAACTGCAAGACATGTGTCATTTCCAGATTCACATGTCCTAACAAGAACTGGTTCTTGTTAGACCTAGTTGATCATCGATTGTTGATGATATGGCTACCCGGCCACCGGTGGGCGGGAAAGTATGTGTGTGTGTATGATCATAATTTGGACACGCTCTAAAACTTCCAAAAGGTTGACTGTGGAAATGATTGCAGACATTTGCAAACCCAATGTGAGTCCCAAACCATAAGATTGTGATAAAGGGGTTAAGATGATAAAATTGCAATCTTGGATGGCTTAATCTCCATTAAAAGATGCAACCATATCAAATCTCTATATTTTATATATTTTTTATATGTATATATACGCAGAACCTGTATTGATTGCATACAGCGCCATTTTTTACAGTCCACATTCGTGAATGTTTGGTTTGACCAATCGGCAGCGTTGGATCCGCAGCAACTTGGAGGATCATAAAGAACATTTTTACTGCCTAAATTGGTGTTTTTTGGTGTCTTCTAATTTTTGGCGGATGAATCCCTAAAAAATGCATATAAAAAGCCCGATTGCAGGGTTGGTTGATCCATGAAAAGTGTTCAAATTATTTACAATGTTGGATAGATGAAATATGATGAAATTTCATGCACAAAATCATGGCATGTTATCACCATTTCTTCAGGAATTGGTCCTACCCTACCCACCGAAACTAATCACATTTCTAAGTAGCTTGATCGTTTCAGACCCATTCCATGTCTCTTTTGGGCAAGTCACCTTACCCGACCCCATAATCCCATGGTGAAAAGTTGGATCATGAGATGATAATACTAATAACCATATATAATAAATATATACACATGTATACACATATCCATATTGGGGGACAGTCATCATCAATCCATTCTGATAAGGATTAAGATACCCATGATGGGGATGGATTTTCATTACGGGATGGATGACCATACCCCAAACCATAGGCCATTTTTTTGACCATGGCACACGTCATGACCATTCACGATATTCAGAATCTTTCAATTGATGAAACTGCATTTGTTTGATGGCTAAATCACCTTTTGTTGATGTTACTGAATGAGGTATAAGCCTGTTAGAACCAACTATTAGTTATATGCTGTTACAAATCAGTAAGTGGGATGATCCTCAAAGTACTACTTTGGTTGTTTGTCCATATACAGTATGTCAATGTATATATATATACACATTGGTAACTTATACTGACCTCATTGCATCACTGCGACCTCACTGGAATGATGCTTAGTAGGGGTTACAAGTCAGTGACATATGATTTATTGGTTTCATACCTATGTGTACTGTATGTATATATATTATATATACCTAGAGCTTCCTGAAGGTCTACTTTTTCAGCCCCTTAGTGAAAAACATGGTTTTCTACCTTAGGGGCGTTTTCCCAACTTCAGTCGATTTGGATGTTCAGCTGCTGTTGTGAGAGCATGTTGGCCATTTTGGCTGATATTGTGGGCTCCTTCCCTTTGCTGCCGAGGCGCATCGGAGCTGTGGCCACTCAAACCAACCAGGTATCTTACCAAAGATATCAACATGTATGGAATGGGGATTGTCAACGCACCCACCCTGCACAAGCTATCTTTTTCCCGCTCTGGGTTTGATCAGCCGCCAATATCTGTAGAGTAGCCCAAGCCTAGCAAGTGTGCGAAGGGTGGCACATGCACATAATCTCCCAAAAAACCACTATAGATGAGAATGTGGCTCAGTAAGACCCATCCATCCCTGGAACTCTCTGGTCTCTGAACCCAGCCATACTTGAAACTTGCAGGCCTCATGGAATGATCCACTTCAGCTTCAGCGGCCAAGGTGCTTTCCTGCCGAGCTGAGGGAGTTGAGTGGTGAGTTAGGGAACCACAAAAACAATCAAAAAATACAATTTTTTCTGCAGGGTGTTGTGTGGCTCAAACCAGGTCTGTTTCCCAGGAGCTACTTAGATGGCTGAAGAAAAAAAGGCCATGAGAGAGCTTCACCAATGTTGGGAAAATGAGGAGATGATTCGTTCCCGCTTTCGTGAGCATGGGAGCCTACTACGTTGGGGCAATGACAAAATTGTTGGAGTACCATGTATGGCCAATGTGCAATCAACTACAAAGTCCTGATTGTGTTTCAAGACTTTTTCTGTCCCTTGCAAAAGGGCCCCAAGTCACCACGTGTGGGGTTCATCAGGGCGCAGGTGTGGTTGTTTTGAAAAAATACTGGGGAAATATTGGGACACCCAAAATGTTTTGAACAAAAGGTTTGCAATATAATTATATCACATATTCATTCAAACTTTGGGGGCCCCTTAAGGTCAAGAAACTTCGCTCTATGTTGGGTGTTGTTCCGGATGCTGTTCGTCTTCACCAAGACAGTTGGGGATTGAAGAAGCTTTTCAGCTACATGATTCGCAAAGCAGGCAAGGACAAGGATACCATCGCAGATCCCAAGCGCCGAGACCCTTGTCAAACCTCCTTTATGGATGATAGCCTTGACAAAATTGTGACAAACTACAATATACAACTCCCAACTACAATATACAACTCCCAAATCAAAATCGTGATGCCATGGCCATTATAGATATTATATTCTACATGTTGGGCAAATGATGGGCTGTATCATATCATTGTTTCCCCGCCGGCTTCCTGATAAGGAGCAGGCTGTGCACTTGGCCTATGAGAACCTGTTCAAGCACTGGGGCGTCAGGCTGCGCAAGGCCAAATCCCATGTTGTCATCCTTGACGATGACCCCAAAGAGGTGAAGGAGGAGGAGCAGGACTTTCAAAGGGCATTGAATGGGGATGAATGCGATGAACAGGATCAGGATGAGGTGGTGGTGATTGATGACCCTTACTTGGACCCCATGTTTCCATTTGACCTTGGCCCAGTGGTTGAGAAGGATGAGAAATCCAATGGGGAGTGTGAGCCAAAGATTCCTGACATGTCGAAACCTGCGCCAATTCCAGTTGATGATGATGTTCTTTGCTGTAGCCCCCCGACGCATGTGCAGCTAGCAAACATTGAACTTCGGATTCAGCAAATTCGGCCCTTTGGTTCTGGATTCACTCAATTCTTTCAACATATCACAACTGTTGGCTTGTATCCGCAATTTTCCTTTGGCAATTTCCCCAGAAGTTCCAGTAAAATGATCCTTGTTTTACATTCCATTGCCAAGGTTGCAGCTGGCCAACAGCGCAGTTTCCCGGGCAGAAGCCTCCAAACCTGAGCCTCAAGGTGGAATCATGGACAACATGGAGACGCTTCCCTTCTTGTCCCAAGAGTTTCCGGACGAATACATGTTGAATGACGAGCTCTCTCCTGCTACTACGGTTGTGACCCCGTCACCACTGCCTGGCAAGGAGGCTCCTACGATCACACCTGACAGGATTGAGCCTTTGTGCCGTGGATTGGCTGTCCAGTTTGAGAAGGTCATTGAAGAGAACGACAAAACCTTTGAAGCTTGCCCGGTTGCCTCAGCTTCCACTGGCCCACAAGGTGTTGAAACCAACAAGGAGGACACCGAGAAGATCTCTCAGCCAACCATGGAGGAGAAGAAGGTTTCACTTCAGGTTGAGGCTGATCAGAAGGGCTCTGCGATTGAGGGGGAGACACCTTGTTCTTCAGGTACTCAGCCAGGCTTTGAGAAACCTGATGCTACTTCCATCGAACCTGACATCACAATCGACCCTGTGGCTGAGCAGGTGGGGCTGCAGACAGATGAGGAACCCCGACCAGAACCTGGGACCACCAAAGAGCCTACTGCCTTCTTCGACAAGCCTGAGACCGGCAAGGACCATCAACCTGAACAGACCATGACCAGCCCTGCGCAAGTGAATCCTGGCATCTTCGAGGACTCTTTGCCTGATGGGGTGGCACCTGAGGGAGAGATGGATCAATCAGACCAGCTCCAACCTGACATCAAAAATCATGATCAACCTCAACAGGAAGCATCCGAAGTCAAGGACGCAAAGCCCGTTGCTGAGCATCCACAGGATGAGGACCCAGGTGCTGAGTCTGACATGGTGGTGGAAGTTGCTTCCCCATCCATGGAAGAGCTTCTTGATGCTGGGATGGAAGCTGATAGCAAGGCTCCTGTTGTCTTGAGGCGGGAGCAGTATGCCCAGAAAAAGGAAAACCATCCACCTGGTCGAAGGGGGAGGCCACCTAAGAAGGATGGAGAGAAGGCCAAGCCCAGAGCCAAAGCAAAAGCAAAGGCGAGAGGAGAACCAAAGGCAAAGGCGAAAGGAAAAGCAAAAGCGAAGGCTCCAAGAGCAACACCCAGCCGTGCTGTGCAAGACCTTGGAAAGACTTGGATGGGGATTGACATGATCGTCCCACCAACGCCTGCCCCGCCGCGAGTTCCGGAGGTTGCTGACAACCTGGTGCCGCCCCCAGCTGAAGAGATCAAGCCTGAAGAGCCAAAGAGGAGAAGCAGGAAGCGAGTTGCATCAGCACCAGCAGCATTGGAACCAGCAGAAGCAGCTCCATCATCAACATCGTCATTGGCCCCAACAGCGTCTGAGCCCAGCAAGAAGAGGAAGAAGGACAAGAAGGATAAGAGGGAGTGTGCTCATGGTGCTGATGGTGCCAATCACAATGCTGATGGTGGAGAGATCGAGGCAGAGGAGAACAAGGTGAAGAAGAACAAGGGAGAGAAGAACAAGGGAGAGGACGAGGGAGACCATGAAGAGGAGACCAAGGTGAAGCTCAAGTCCTTTGCGAGGAGACCCATGCCGAAGACCAACCCATCCCAGCTCAAGTGGTTTGCAATCCGTGACCACTTCAAAGAGAACGTTTCGCCGGAGTTGGCCAAGTTTATGCGTTTCCCTGGGAAGCTCGAGGACCAAGGGGTTCTTGTTTTTTTTCAACTCCCGTCAACTCCTTTTAAAAATTAGGGTCGCATGGATTTAGATTCTTTTTAAAAAAACAACCCAATCCGTTTTTGCCCACAGGAGCCGTGGTGGAAGACATGTGTCGCCCACTTGGAAAGGAACAACGCTCCCACCGATGTTGACCAGTGCCGTGTGCTCATTTCTCAATGTGTTGAGCAATTTTTGGTGGATGCCCTAGCGAAATACGCTGAGTGAACCAATCCATGTTTCTTTGCAGGTTGCGTGTGATAACACGTTGACAGCTGCAGTTGGGGTTTCGGCATGTGAGAACACATGCATACATTACAAGTTGATCAAACAAGTGTGTGCTTTCCGAGATTGAAAAAAATGTGTTGCATCATGGGTTGTGATGGTTCAGAACCGGGTTGGACATATCCCAAGCTGGGCAAAATCATATGAAATCCAATAATATCTTAATACCCACTATCCTTCCAAGATATGTACATAAAGCGCTACAAACCCCTTATAGAGACACCAGGGTCCCAGAAACCACTGCCTCACACATTATGCACGCAGGTGATGCCGCGCAACTTCTCCATCAACCTGGCCAAGTTTGGCGTGGGGAGCTCTTCAGGAAGTGCCCTCTGTAGGAAGCCGGTGGTGTGGATAGATTTTATGTTGAACTTTTGACCCATCTCATGACTATTAATGGCAATCCATTTTATGATACTTTGATGTGCTCGCTGCAGCCTATCCAAACCTTCAAGGACCGAACCCTTCATGTAGTTTCTTGGATTGGGTCATTCTGCACATGACTCCATCTCAAGTGGACACCATGATCCGAAGACTGTTCACCATGGATGTCCCGCTGGAAACATGGCTGAGCTGGTTTTTATTTATTTATATTATGTTCAGAAAACTGCATCAAGGAGATCCCAACTTGTTTTCCTTTTTGGGTTGGACCTATCTTATGAAACCCCTTCCCACGCCACCTGCGCTGAGGATGCCATCTTTCTTGTGCTCCTGGTTCACTGGATGGGAGTTGGTGGTGATGAGGGCTACCAGGTCCTGGAATATTTTGCTGGGGTGGCTCGTATTGCAGCGCTAGCCAAAGCAGTGGGATACACAGCATTTGCCTATGACAGGGATTTCGGAAAGTCTTCAAAAAGGAGATCCAAACGAAGCCCAATGGACTTAAATAGCAGTGCGGGACTAGTGTTGCTTGGATCAAACATGTTGTTTTTTCAGCAAGACCCCAATCCCAAAAGTAATTATCTATTCAATCTTGACGTGGCCCCCATCCAAACAGTAATATACGTATCTCCTGAAATTACCCTAATCCCACAAGCATCTAAGGTTGGCAATTGCTTGGGTGCTGCGTTCAGAATTTGGTATGCTTGTTGCCCATTTTGCAGTGTGCTGCAGCTCCTTCGTCCCTGTAAATAGAGGTACTGGCAAAAGGTCACTCTTAACACCTCTAGGAGATCTACGAGTTCCATCAGTAAGACGATCCAACAAGTTGATGTCAAGGATTTGGGTGTGAAACAAACAATATAACAATTAGATTTTGATTACGGTTCTATATAGATCAATGGTTTGTGCATGCATCGACTTATCATAGAGCTTCTTTTGGGATGTGGCCCTGAAGGTCCGTTTTTATACAAATGCTTGTGATAGCGGCTGGTGGAATCCCTACTATGGAAAATCCACAAAATTCCCTCATTGCCCTTCATGACCGCTGGGTGTGGCTGGTGCAGACTCTTCAACGCTTTGGCATTCAGGTTGGTTATTGAAAGCAATACCGTTCATCAGATTATTTTGTGTATACTCTTTATTTTAAAATATATGTTATGGATTGGTTTACAATTGAATTTCCCATAGCATCCCAAAGACGAACCCAGAGCATCCTGTCAGGTGTACAAGGTGGCGTTCTGGATGCGGAAACACAAGGCATTGACCTGGAAGCGGACTTGGATTTGGAGTGTTAGCGACATTATACAACAACTAGACTTGGGACCACTTTCTCAGGATGAACGGGTGTGCGAAGTGAAAACAACAACTACATGGAAAGATCCTAGCACTGGCAAGACAAAATTTCAAGGCAATAGACATCTTAAAGGAACTCAGTACCCTGACTATATTAGTGGATTTGTTTCTGCACTAATCAAATTTGAGAAGATTGAGTTTATCTTGATGGCATTCCCCTTCAACTAAGGCAATACTCATGGAGGTTTGCCCGCCACTTTGTTGAATTGATTCCTGCCTTCCGGAAGAGCGATAGACCAGCAATTCCTCCTGCAGCACAATGTCTGCATGCAAGTATATTTGTGTTCTTTGGGTTCCATATGGTTTAGGATTGACCACTTAAGATATAATATACACTAAGTGCATGGATTGTATAGTTATATGATATCATATGGCCTTCCATCTCCAAGGATCCTTCAAAAACCATTCTGGAGCTGTTCAAGCAGCGAACGTTTGAAACTCGTTGGGACCGTCATGCAGACTTGGCTGATGCAATTATCTATTGCAGAGGGTCCCGGATGTTGAAGATTCCTTCAGAGTGGCGCCCATGGCTACCAACGACAATTTAGTTTTCCGACCCAGCCTTTACTTGGCGCATGGCATTTGGGAAAAGGATGCATGCATGCATGCTGATTTAGCAGCCACATGTGGCATGTCTCTTTTCATGGTACTTGAGAGGAATCCATGAAAAAAAATCATGACTCAATGATGCATGAAAAAAAATCATGAATTTCTAATAATTCAGAAATTCATGAAAAAAAATCATGCACATGAAAAAAAATCATGCATGATTTTTTTTCATGTGCATGATTTTTTTTTCATGAACCCTTGAAAATTTTCAAAAGTTGGGGGGCGGATCTGGCCGGTCAAAGGGCGGATCTGGCCGGGTTAGGGGCGGATCTGGCCGGTCGGGATTTCCAGCATCACTTAGAGCAGTTCCTGGGGCTAATGCCCCGTGCGTTGGTGTCACGTGTGTTTTCCAGTTCCACGCTCATGGAGGGGCTCATCCTAACAAAGACTGAGCCTGGCCTTGCTCTTCCACAAGATGATGAACAATTACACGCTGAACTTGCGAAGTTGGAGGATTGATTCCATTATTCAAACATTCTTCGTATGTCATAAAGATCCATCAAAAGGTAAACCATATCTTGAGAGTTCACTTGTATCAGCCCTTTCCTTGAATTTCCAAAGCGTAGGAGATGAAGCTCCGTTTGGAAGCTGACGCATGTTGTCAACCTGAAGATGATGGATATGGAGATGTCATATGTTTGGATGATCTGGATGATGATGAGTTGCAGAGTATGTTCTCCAAGACTACTTTGGACCTGATGCCACCGAAATGTGAAACTGTACCCTGGCCATCTATTTGGTTGCAAATGATGTAGAGCAAGTAAAATATCATTCTTGAACATCTTGAAATCAGAGGATATACCCGTTCAATGCATTTCTCAAGTAAGGCCAGTGGCAACGGATCCGAAGAAGATGCAGCCACTCTTGAGGCAAGGCCCAAATATTATAAGCAAAATTACCGAAATACACTCATGATTTTTTTGTTGGTCTAACCGAGTCTACCCAGTGATTGTTTATCTCACTGCCCTTGTCCACGCACAGGACCCACACTCAGACTCCTATTCGCCAACATCATCGAATTCCGTCGTCGATGTAAGCCTGAAGAGGGAGCTGGTGCGACAGGCTTTGGAGGATGCTGAAAAGCGTAAGATCTATCAACCAGAGCTTAACCAAGAATTTTCGGTGTCCCCTCAGGATTGGGATGGATTGGGGTTGTGTTTGAGATTAGTTGCAAACCCAGTTCAAACATTTTAGAGAGTTGCCCAGTGGTTGTATAAGTATAGGACCTATACTTCTTGTCTTGAAAATCTATCACGTTCCCTATATGGACCATTAACCATATGGTGTACCATGGTCGTGTGAAACAAGAACATAATAAGCCGAACTGCAGTTTTTACAACCCATATGGTTGTTCATTTTTCCCATACAAAAACCAACAGCTAGCTTGTGGGACCCCGTATCATTCATTGACTACCTTTGCCTGCAATGAGGTATGGAAAATCATCCTACTTGCATCATTTATGGAACCCATTGGTTATATCATCTTGATACCACCAAGCTGTTCCTACACATGATAATATATATTATATATATATTATATATATCATAATATATTTATATATATATGATGTATTATATATTATATATATATTAACATGTAATTATTAAATACCCTATAGTTGAATACTTGTTTCAAGACCAATGCACATATAGTTGGGAAAATCAATCTTTGCCGATGGTTTGCATGTTCTCAGCCCCATACTTAACAAATCACTCTCTCCAGGATGAAACCTATCCGTCGCCTTCGCCTGCTCCTTCGCCCTCAAAGGCTGTGAACAAAGGTCCTGGGGGTGATTCCACTCTGGAAACAGGAGGTTCTGTGGAGCCATTGGATTCTCAGCAGCCCCATCGTGTGGAAGCTCCTAGTTTAGCAACCCCACCACGTGAGGAGTCACTCGCTAGATCTGTAGTCTTGAAACGACTTGGGCGTCTTTTCAAACAAAAAGCTGATGGCACTTACAATGTTTCTGATGAGCTGGTTGGCATGTGGCACACTGAACCTGGTCGAGCTCAAATTCTTCAAGAATATGAGAAGACTGGATACAACAAGGATCAGTTTAACACATACACACACAGGGAGTATTGCTGATGTTGGGGTGACATCTTATTGTATATATATATACCATATACTTACACCATGTTATACCCCAAAGTTTTTGGCTATTCTATCATAGTCGCATTTCATGTTTGCCGCTTGCCCTGTCAGGACCTCATGGTTAGCCGTTGCACAAAGCGAATCCGGGAAAAGGTGACAGAGCAGGAGATGTGGGTAGATGGTGAATTTGCATCTGAAGAAGACATGAAAGGTGAGCTGAACCTGAATGAGTGACTCAACTGAAAAAACCATTGGACCACAATTTGATATCTTTTTAAATTTTGAATGCTTCCAACAAGGCTACCACAGTCAAAGGGCATTTCAAGTAGATATTTAACTTTAACCCCAACTATCTCCAACTTACAAAATCTGAGGAAACGCATAAAAGCCATCAAGGCGGAGTGTGAGAAACGCCCAGGCTGGACCAGGCGCGCTCCAGTCTGATCCAAACCCCTTTGCGTTTATTTGCACTGAAGTGACAATAGCTCGAGCCTTACAAGTCTTTCACAGCTACCTTTCAACATTGATAGGCGTGACCGCTATGAGAAAAATATCGTTCTCTACTGGGTGGAGAAGCGTGTGGCTGGCAAGTTGTTGTGCTTCAGCTGCCCTGATAGTATTTCATTGCTACCGTACCATGTTATTACCATGTATTAAACTGGTTTTATATGGAAGCCATGTGCATAACACCCAGGAAAAAACGACGATCTGTGCTCATGGATGAGTCTGAGACTGATGAGGAATTCCAGGACAAGGATGATGATTTTGAGATGGGTGGGTGGTGTCATGCAGCCCAGCCTGAGACAGGTACCCTAGCTTATCTCAGAACATCTTTAAAATTGTCATGCAGTCCTTTATCCACTTGTTCGACCGCCCCCTTCCAAACCCAAAGTCCTTTCAAGGTGCGGATGGTTTGACTCGAGCTGAAAAACTTCAAGCTGACAAGGAAGCTGCCTGGGCCAAGTGTCTCAAGGCTGTGACATGGCCGGAGATGGATGACGATGCTTTGCCCAGTGCCTACATGACAAAGGTGCTGAGCTGTGTCGGCAAATGGCAGCTCAAAATGGGTCAGTTGTCTACTGCACTGGACGCCTTTGACGAGCCTGACAACTGCATGAAACAGTTTCTAGCCCAGGTTAAAACCATACAATATTTACTTCCATGGAGGAATTCTATTGTTTTTGGCATTTGGGCCCCAAGCAGGCAGTGGCAAACCTCTGCTAGTTGTTGCAAAGATTACGCAATATATCAAAGACTATTGGATATATCCTTGGCATACTTCTCTTGGTTTGGATCCCCTTTCTTCCTTGGCTTACCTGCTCTAAGGCTTACTGAGCAAAGCAAGGCAGTGGCTGCTTCGCTGATGGAAGTTGCAAAGGGGTTGGATGAGTTGAACAAAGATGCAGTCCTCAACGACGTCAATGATAATGATGAGTTACTTGCCATTACAAACATCGTGAAAAAATCAAGATTTCATGGCCAAGTAAAGCATGTTCCATCATTATCTATCATTATATCATGTATATAACTACCACTAAAACTGACAACATCCTTTAACTTCTAATTTACAACTGCTAGAAGCATGGACGAACAAAATTGAAAGCCGAGGTGTCAAGAGAAGATGAAGACGAAGTTTTCGATGGCAAAGCAGAGGCCATTGCCCGATAAACACATCAAAAAATGAACCTCGACTTTCCAAAAAAGTGTAATCTGTTCTTGGGGGCCCCCAGGCAACCATTTCCCACTGACAGCAAGCCTGCCATTGCCAGGTGCGTCGAAGCTCTCAACCTCAACAGCCGGGCGCAGCAGGGCCCCCAGAAACCGTGCCTTCATGTCAGCATGTGGTACAGGATTCAGATTTCGATCTATAAGTCTATCATGGATATTTCAATCCAATGATATGATCAGTATATTTTTTCTGACCAAGAAAAGTTGTGCTTTTCCGGTAAGTAATTAGTTGGTATCCAGTATCCCCAGTGCTTCTTTCACTAAGCAGTTGTTGTTGCCAGCAGATTGAATTTGCTAAGGCCTTACATCTCCCATGTCAAGAAGGAGCTGAGGAAACGAAACAACTCGGATGATGCAACCCCGAGAAGTGTCAAGAGAGAACGCAGATGAAGCTATCTCAAATGCCTAGGTGAAAGCTTGAAATATTTTGGGGATTTGACATTTTCGATTCCAATTCAATTCAGCTTTTGGCACAAAATGTGCTGACAAATTCATTTAATAAATTGACAATTCATGGCCATGCGATGCTTTTTTAAAAGCTTTTGGCCGACCTTAGATCCATACTGCGGCAATCGAGCAGGATAAAACTGGTGTCGATTTTGACAGCCTTGGGCCTTCTAGTTGGGAGTATGTCATGTATCTCATAGTCTTCGTCCTGGTCATTGCCAGGTACTGAAACACCAGGGGAAGTTCTCTCCCACATCGTGGAAGTCATTGCAGATGGAGTTGGGGACTTGGTGTGTGTGTAGTGTGATATGGTCTCCTGTATGTTATATATCTAATATATGTGCATGTGCAGGAAACTTGGATTTTTTTGTGTGAGTGTGTACATTGTAGCGCACTGTCGTGTCAAGAGGATCATTCAGAACCTATGCCATATGTTGCCACAGCTGGCCAAGGCCCCAGCAAAAGTGCTGACGGAACATCGGAATGCCCTGGCCAAAGAGCAAGGGTCAAAGCGGCAACTCACTTTACAAAATGCTTCCCGCCACTACAAACGAACTGTGTGGAGATATGCCTTTGCAATGGGAATACCAATTTCGACATATGTTCATGAAGAGGATGGCCGATCTGTGGCCATAGAATGGCTCCGACCATCGGATATTCTGCGGTTCTTGCTGAACAAGTATCCTAGTCTACTCCTGGGTGGATGTCAACCTGGTGTCAAAGCTGAAGCTATGTTAGCGAGCTTTTGGAAACAATACCAGTTGATCGACCCAAATCATGCTCTGTTTGATGGCAACCCTCCAGATCTACATCGAACGATACCGCTGAACTTGCATGGGGATGGAGCCAGAACCCAAAAAAAACAACCCCTTGAAGTTGTTTCGCTTGAAGCTGTTTTGGGTATTGACAGCTACAAATGCAAGCAGTGCCATTGTGATGACTGCAACTGCCCTCCCACCAAAAGACGGGCTGCAAATGATGAAAGCGGGAACCCTTTCATCCAACTTCTGAACCACAAGAATCACACTTACCTCTCCAGGTTTCTTGTTTTTGCGTTCCCCAGCAAGGAGATCAAGATGCCAGGCCTCCTTGAGGCCCTGTTGAAGGAAACAGCAGCTGACCTTGGTGGGGTTTGCACCAATGGGATCAATACAGACCACGGCTTTTTCAGAGTTGGTGTTTTAGGGTACAAAGGAGACATGGAGTACCACAAGAAGCTACATCTCCAGAGATCCTATGCCAATGTGGGTCATGTTAATGCGATTCAGTGCTGCCATGAATGCAAGGCAGGTGATGCATTGCACCCGTTCGAGGATTCAAATGACCAGGCTTCCTGGGTTTCTACTAGATGTTTATCGCTTCCATGGACAGATTCACCATTCACTGACATTCCATTTGCTGACTGGAGTGGTGCCCGGGATGGTCGTGCATCTCTATTTTTTAGGCGTGATACCTTTCATATCTTCAGGTTGGGCATAGCAAGAAATTTCATTGCCTCAGTGATCATCATGCTGGGGCTCAAGGGTGTGTTTGATGATGGTGAAACTGATTTTAGTGTTGAAAGAAGATTGAATACAGCTTGGCACTTGTGCAACCTCTGGTGTACTACGAATGGTACAAGACCAGCCACTGTCCGGAGCTTCACCCGTGAAAAACTTCACTACAAGTCAGGGTCATACCCATGGATTTCTTGTAAAGGTGCTGATACTGTCATCTTTTTGACATGGCTTCGATTCCAAATCAGATTGATCATGCCGATGCATGTTGGGGGCTCCTTGGAACCCACTCTTCAGATGATGTTGCTGGGGGTCCAAGCAGGCTTGTCGTTCACCAAGAACATCCACCGCCATGGCTTGTGGATGCAAGTGCATTGTGTCAAACACATGAGGAATTCCTGCAGCAGCTGTGCTTACGCAGTGCTGGCACAAACGGCCTTACAAGAAGGTGTGTCCCTGTTTGGCATGGTGCCCAAATACCATGCAATGGCCCACTACAAGATTGATGCTAATGATCTGTTGAGACTGAGACAACTGTTGGCTGATGGGGCTGGGGGTCAAGAAGTGTTACTTCTAAACCCCGCTGCTTTCGATTGCAGTGGTAATGAGGACTTTGTTGGTCGTATATCGAAACAATCGCGTAGAATTGGGTTCAAAAAAGTGCTTGACAATTTGATGAGAGCATATCTTGTGAAATTCAAATTTGTGGCCAAACGCCATTTCGAACAAAGGCAGCGCTGAGAGAGAAAAGCTGGCTGGGACAAGACAAGCTCAGGGGCAGAAACACATAGAGGGGGGCAGAAACCATGACCCCCAGAACAGGGGCAAAAATTCTGCATCACCGGAGATTCGAGGTATATATTATATTATTGTTGTTAGTATTATTAATATTTTTATTATCATTATCATCATTATTTTCATTATTATCTATAATTATTATATGTACATATCATGGTAAACATAAAAAAAAACAAAACTATGGAAAGATCCACCATGTTTGTCATGGCTAAATCAACTATCAATGGGCCACTTTCAATAGTGATATGTTAGTTTTCCAAAGGGTAACCCCTGTGAATTCTGTAACTTGACCCATCCCCGAGGCTTCCTTGGTGCTGGGTGCCCCGGGCGTCGGCGCCGCCGTCGCCACGCCCCCCTCGCTGGGTGCCGACGGCCAACGGCCGCGCGCCAGATCGGAGGCAGTGGGAAATGGTACCATTTCATGGGGATTTCGGGATTTCATGGTGATTTACTGGGGATTTAGTGGGGATTTAGTGGGATTTTCTTGGGATGTAGTGGAATTGAGTGGCGATTTATTGGGATTTACCAGGGATTTCATGGTGATTTCATGCTGTTTTCTTAGGATTTATTGGGATTTCATCATTAACAATAGGTCAATAGGGATACAGTGGGGATATTAATGGAATATATCAAACCAACTTAAGTGGAATTTGGGTGTGTCTGAGAATAGGGATACAATTGTGATATAATGATGGTTCAAAAAGGGATATATGATTGTTTTGCTCATGATAATACTAACTAAGGACTATGTATGGATGTATAAGGGGATTGTAAATGGGATATTCAATATTCCATAGGGTACCCTTTGGTAACTTAACCTAGCGAATTTGAACATCTTAAAAAGGTAAATCATCATAAATCATCTAACACAATGGGCGATGGCTTCCATAGCAAACTCTTCAATAACACATAGGATCCATGTATGCTATATATGGTAACATTTACCATCCATATACCCCAAATGTTAGCATATATACCGTACATGGATCCTATGGGTAACCAGAGGTTATCCCCGTAAAAGGGTCTGAAAATTGGGGATACTGTGACAGATACCAATAAAGAGCCGTTCTGATGGGGAACATTCTGAGAATCCTTTGGAATTGTGGGTTTCATATATTTTCAGACAAAGCCAAATGGAGACTATGTGGATATACCGATCCCAACCATCGACGCCCGACGTGACTAAAAGTGAGAATCTATCCAGATATATGCTATATATCCAAATTGGATATAGTTGGTTTGTCAGTTGGGATTGGGGCAACTATATCCCAAAATAGCCGAACATTTGAGTTTGATGAATTATTTTAATCTTTCCAGACACTTCGTGTCTGGGTATGTGTCAAACCCCTCCGGTTTTTCACCCCAGAATAGCTAGCTGCAAGGTGGATGTTCATCCCTCAAAGAAGTGTACTTTTGCATACATATACGGATTTATATACCCTCTGGTTATTTAACGTAGCTATGGGAAATCACCATTTTTAAAGTTAAATCCTCACAAATCATCTATAAATGGGCCATCTATACCATAGCTACGTTAGTCATTACCAAAGGGTAATATTACATAGTCACCACAACCAGTGATTTATGGATTTTTGGTGCGGGGACTGTTCCAGAAATCATCTCAGGCCAGGCCTGATGTTGAGACACCATCCAGCGGGCCAGTCATGGGGTTTTTCAAAATCGTGGGATGATGGCACCCACAACTCTTTGTCCCAATTATCTCTGGTAAATCAATGTAAATTGAATGAGTAAGATCAACATCGATCATCAGCCAATCTGGTAATTAATGTTGTTTAATTATTATTTTTTGACATCCTGTTTGCCACTATGTGTCATATGTTCACACTGTATATGATGAAAAATATCACCATGACTCTGTTTGCCTTTTCGAAATCTTCTCCCACTTTAAAGCACAAAGATATTGGTTGTTGGGTTAAAAGAAAGCACAAAGATATTGGTTGTTGGGTTAACAACACGACAAGTAGCCACGAGAATCTTCAATCATTATTGCCATCCAGGCAGCCCATGACAGTCACCTTCCGCCGGGCTGGACTACGGT